GCTAATCTGCGCTGATTGGTCTGATGAACCAGTCTGTTGTGATTGGCTAACTGCGTTCAGCGTGAGATGGAGAGAAGCGTCCAGCATGAAGTAGTCATACAGTAGTAGAACACAGAGTATATGCGTGAGCCCAATGCAGGAAAGCAGTCAAGCAATGCAGTTAAACACCAGCATATTCCTCTATTCCTGACCACAACCCCATGTTATAACAATGACACACATTCAGAATTAACCCACACAGTGGCAAAAGTTGATCTATTTTAAAAACTGACCACACCACGCATGTGAGGAACAGCTGAAGATGGCCACAGCAACAAACAGCAGGAGATCGCGATCACAAAACGCATAAAAATCGGTAAAGGAAGAAGCAAGCATATAGTTTTCAACAGGACATAATATGTGAAATAGTCCATAAAGATTTAACCTAAGTGATACATTACAAGCACTGAGCTATAACAGATGATTACAAGCTGTGCAGGAAGCGATTACAAGTTACAACACACTATTAAATACATATTTTGCAAACTACAGAAAACCAGGCAACCATTTTAAACATGATTCAAGTTGTGCAGGAAGAAGAAACGCAGGGTCTGAAAGAAGAAACTGGCCCATATAAACTGTGTAACAGTTACATTACATGAAGTCTCATTCATTAGTAGTCTTTGCTGAATCTTCCTTTAATAACTGCATGTTGCAGGTTAAGTTATTAATCATCAGAAAAATGACAGGAACAAACAGCACACAATTGGATATACTGCGGTGTTGTTGTGAAAATGAACTTTAACCATTTATTCCCCATAGCCACATGTATGGCCATCTCTCTCTCAGTGATAGTAATCTTCGCCTCATGACACATTATCAATCCCATGATCCCTCACACTCTGCTAGTGTCCGAAGGGAAAGGAGCGTTCATGTTTACCCGGATCCTGCAGTTCATATTTAGTATTCTTTTGTGTCGACGTCGATACAAACAGGCTAAAGATCCTGACAAACGATGAATCATTTAAACAACTCTGAGTCAAATCTTTTATTTATTTTTTTTTAAAAAAGGTATTTTTAAACAAGGTGCATTTTTAGATTTAACCCTCAGCTGGATGTTTTCATTCACTCAGAGCTGTGTTGCACACTGCATGGAGGGTAATTTATAAAAACCCATAACAGAGGCTCTTTAAGTTATGGTTGATGAGATATTTTAATTGTTAGTAAGTAAAGGGAATACTGCTATAGAAATGCCTCAGCTGACTTGTCATATCTGAACTTTTAACATAAAAGTATACAATAGACTATACATAATTTTGAATTCATTGTTGAATTTTGTGTATAAGGATGTTAATAATTGCAATCAAAATAATGCTGCCAAGCACTAATCACAACATTAGAGATTTTGATTTTAGGTAAACAAGTATATGAAAATTACAGAACAAAATTATAAAGACGTACAATATGCAATGGCTTTACGGAAGAACTACAATCCAACAAAGCTGTGCAACAGAGTACACCCCATTTTGAAAATGATTATTTTTATCCATTTCTCAGTGATGGGTAATATACAGTATATTGGTGCATTTGGACAAAGCAGATTTATTACACAGATATATTTATTAAAATGATATTTTAGTCATAGAACATCTTTAGAAATGGACAGATAATACAATTAAATTCAAGCTAAATAAAATGACAACCTACAAAATTTGTTTGAAAAACTGTATTTAATAGTTTTTCCTAAAAACAATAAATTTGGGCTACTAATTTTTAAACCATAATTGTAAGTTATTTAGTTAGATAAGCTTTAGTACTGGCTAATGTATATGCACAAATATAATATTGTAAAGCTTCCTATAGAAAATATTCATTTAAATAAGAGATTGGGGTGTCACTATGGCGCAGTGGGTAGCACGATCCCCTCACTGCAAGAAGGTATCAGGTTCGAGCCTCAGCCGGTACAGTTGGCTTTTCTGTGTGGAGTTTGCATGTTCTCCCTGTGTTTGCGTGGGTTTCTTCCGGATGCTCCGGTTTCCCCCACAGTCCAAAGACATGCAGTATAGGTGAATTGGGTAAGCTTAAACTGTCTGTAGTGTATGTGTGTGAATGAGTGTGTATGGATGTTTCTCAGTGATTGGTTGCAGCTGGAAGGGCATTGGCTGCATAAAACATATGCTGTATAAGCTGGCGGCTCATTCCGCTGTGGCGAACCTCAGTAAATAAAGAGACTAAGCCAAAAAGAAAATGAAATAATAAATAAATGAGAGATTTGTGGGGGTGTACTAATATATGCAGAGCACTGTACATCAAGTTTATTGCAAAAAAAAAAAAAGATATTTTGAGATTGTACAGAAATCTGTTACTAGAGGAATTCATTGTGCTTCAGATGCGTAAAGCTTAATATCTCTTTTACGGTACTTTGATCGCTGTGCCTCTGATTGGCGGGATTTTCTACAGCATTGTGGCCAATGTAGTTTTTCAGCATGAATTCCACTAATGAACAAAAAAATCGCTTTAAAAGTTAACCGAGATAATGTCAACAAATGGGTTTCACAAAAGCATATACACTCTATTAGCAACCACACATCTCACAACTAAAGGCTTTTAAGCCATATCTTTAAATGAAGGAAATGAATGCCTTTTTGCTACATTTTACAATACCAGAATGAGCATTCATTCAGTTACGGTAAATGCTAAAATCTCTGAATGGTTTTGTATGGTCCCGAATTCTCAAATTGCACAGAGATTGGTAAAATGAAGGTCTGCAAAAGCGAATGACCCTACAGAAATCACATTTGACTAACTCTCAGGCTACACAAATGTGACTCTGCTCCGTCCATTCATGTAAAAAGAAAGCGAAGAACAAAGAATTACACTGGAGGAGAATTTCAAGGGCACTTTGGCTAATTCAGATGACCAGGTTGCATAGCAACTTCAACCATTCAGTCCATCCGTGTGTCAAATCCTGCTTTCTATGAGCCGTTTCAGATGATGTCATTATCTATTAACAGCTTGGACACAGGTGGCAAAATGCTCCACTTTCAAGAACCCAAGAAGCAATTCGTAGTCTATTTTTACAACAGGGATGATGTAATGCTTTTCCATGCCGTCTATCCAGATGAGTTGGGGCGTTTTGTTAATGTTATAGCGCCACCCTGTGGTGAGGCCAGACTTTCTTTTATGTAAGTTTGTCTAACAAATGACATCATGTGTTTACATCGTAGGCTTAGGTGACAGATCAGAGAGGAGTGAAAGAAAAAATGTGGGTGAGGAGAGAAAAAATAGAGCAAGAATGAGACGATTTATCTTGAAAATCAAAACAAAGTGTCATGTAAAAAGATAAAAACAAAAGTTGGAGAGAAAGAGAGGGAAAAAAGTCAAGTAAAACATGACAATCTGCACTCGTGAAAATCTCACCTGAAAACACATGAAACGTTAATTAGCTAAATAAAATGTATAAGAGCAATGAACTCAATAATCAGTTTTTGCAACTCTTTGTGTGCTAACAATACTGTACATCTCAAATAAAATACAAACAAGACAAAGTTAAATCTAAAATAAATCCAAAATTTATGTATGACGTCATATTATTCCACTTGAGACACTGCAATATCTTCCAAAACCAGCAGCTGAAACATTAAATTACCATCACAAAATAAATAACTGAAGGAATCATTAACGGGGTGATTCGGGTTCATTCTCTTGGCTTTCGTGGCTCTATAGCGCCACTCTGTGGTGGTTTAGTCCTTCACTGTCCTGAGAACTACAGCAGTTTATAGAACAACACTTTACAGCAATTTCAATTAATTAACAATTAGTTAATGCTGACCCTGTTCCGACTCGCGAAATGACATGTCCTGATTACTATTTGTACACAGAATAGCCAACAAATATTATGGTTAAACAATTGTAGTTTTGTACACAAACGCAGCTCCCACAGGTCTTTTAAAGGCACGTTTAAACATGTACAAGTAATGTACTTTCAATAAAATGTCAAAATTATTAGGGACACTTCTAACTTTAACGAGTAGTTTACCTGTTAATCAGCACTTTCCACAAAAATTTTTTAGACCAATTTAATGACATATTGCGAATAACTAAATTAACATGAACCAACAATAAAACACCTTTAAAGCATTTACTATTCATACTTAATGTTGCCTTATAGAATATAAAAAAACAAGTAACCCGTAATTTGTTAAAAATATTTGTGAGAAAATTAGCAATTAAAAGTTGCATTTTTAATAAATAAAATCATCAAATATTAATAAAAAACAGCAAAATGCATGAACTAACATTATTTAACATTTATTTCCCCCTTTCAATGCACTGTACAATACAAATAAATTATTTATAAATGTTATTTTTAATTATCATCGAAACAATAACTGTAAACTATTTTGATGCTGCAGATCAATATTATTTAAGTTTTACAAAAAATATATAGAATTTAGTGCTTTGATTTCAAAAGTCTATGTTTGAATGAGTGTTACTTGCCATTTCTTTATCATTAGTTGTGAAATCTACAACCAGTTCTTGACTTAAAATGGCTTTTTACATCCATTTTTGTGTTTACAGTGAAGAAAGTTGCCTTTGATTGCTACTTCTAGAAGGATAACGTGCCATGTCATAAAGCCTGAATTATCTTAGACTGGTTTCTTGAACATGACAATGAGTTCACTGTACTCAAATGGCCTCTACAGTCACCAGATCTCAATCTAGTAGAGCACCTTTGGGATGAGGTGGAACGGGAGATTCGTATCATGGATGTGCTGCAGACAAATCTGCAGCATTAATTAATTAGAAATTAATTGTTCCCAAACCCCGCCTTTGTTAATTAATAAATTAATTAATGTAACAGAATTTACTAATAAAAAATATACACAGAGACTGTCACATTCGTTTGCATTCATTACACTACAGTATATAGTCTCGAATCATATGATCGTACATGTTGTAATATCACCTGACTGTTAATATTGCATCTCAACACCTTGATAAACACCAGCCGAGACTTGTTTTTTGTATGTTGTTGGCGTGGTTTTTTTATTTATTTATTTTGCGCATATTAAAAATTGCAATCTTTTAAAGCAAGCAACGCTTTATATAGAAAAACTGTGAAAATCTCTCTGTCAAAAAAAGAACATAAGGCATTAAAATAAAGTCAGTTTCGTTTCCATTCTTAAGATCTGTCAGAAAAACGAAGCGCCTTGAAGATAAGTTCCTTGAGGGCATAAAAAATAAATTATTGAAGGATTTTGAACAAAAACTCTGGGAAAATCCCTAGGGTAATGTACCCAGATGCAAATTCAGATTCAACTTGAGATGTGGTCTGTCATCACCTCTCTTGGTGCACACAGGAAAACAGCGTCACACACTGAGGGTGACAGGCTGTGATGGTAAAGCCATGTTTAGTCCTGTTTCTTGCTGTGATTTCGGGGGCTGAAGTCAGCACAGAAGCCGTTACTTGAAGATGTGGATTCTCTGGAGTGCTGAGAGATTGACTCACAGAGACAGTGATACTGCTCCACCAAATCAGGGCATTTCTCCATGAAGCTGCACAATTCATCTGCCAAAAGACACAAGGTGATGAAGATCAAAGAAAGTTATATGATAAGAAATGTTAATACAGATCAATGGCCATTCTTAACTTTTTGTGTGTGTGTTTGTGTTTTTAGTGTACTTAATTTAATCCTTTAACTGTCCTGATAGCAGGACGTTAACGTTTACTTCACTATATTGCAATTAAATCCTAATCTAATCATGGCAAACTATATATTGTTGGAAAAGTGTTCTGAATACATATTTTACCATGGTTTTTAGTTTTTAGGAAGAGTAAAGGGAGTCGCACACCGGATGCGCTGCTCAGTGCTGCAACATGGCATGCACATGACAGTTGGAAGCATCGCACACCAGACACGCACATTCGTATGTGCATATATGAACAGTGTCTTGAGTTATAGCTGGGCACCACGGACAGCCACCGACTTGCGGCACTGGTGTGCACACCCTGACAGAAATCTATGTTAAGAATTCTAAAATGCATAACCCTGTGACTGGTAAGCGACCACCTTCAGAGATCCTTTTACTCTCACCCTTCAACCCGTGGGACCGATTGCAGTTACATTTTTAGACCATAATATTGCAGGTTATACAAAGCACATGACAAACTATATTTCATTTGAAAGCTTTAAAATTCCTAGTTTTCGATAGATATTACTGAGCAACAGACAACAATTCTCATTAGCAATCCACATGTAAAAAAAGTTTTAGAGACTAAATTCAAATCAGACACCACCACACTTGCCCATACTGCTTTAGAACTTAATTTCTACTTCACACATATTGTGAAAAGTATGAAAAAATATGGTTTATGTTCCTCAAAACGTACACTTTAATAGAGAACGCTCTTGTATGGTAACTAATGGAAACTGTATGTCATCTGGTGGTCAAGGTTGGTACTGTGGCCAAATAAAATGTTACTGAAAGCTCATTTGATGAGATATCAACTTCAAATTCGGAATATAATTTTTTTCAGACATTGCACAAACGTTTTTTATAAAATAAACAATTTATGTAATATAATAAGATGTTTAGTTTTATTATATATTTTTTGACTAGCTACAAATCTGACAAATGTCTTTTTAAAAATGAGACCAGACTTAAGTCTATGCAACAGTGTTTAAGATTGGGAATCATTAAACCTCTCATTTTGATTTCAATGTTCAAAAAGTGGGGGTGACATTTAGGGGCTTAATGTATATAAAAAACTACAAGTTTTTGGGACATGTCCTCTAAATTAAAAAAAAAATAAAATAAAATAAATTCAGGTGTTCCAATGTCTTCATGGCCAATGGTCTATAAAAGTCAAACACCTTGAATTATAGTCCATTAATCAATACTTTTTAATTCAAATTTGCATTTATAATCAACACTCAAATAAAACTTTACTTAAAGATGTACTGAGTTAGGTAAAAAAAAAAACCTTAAAAAATAAAAAGTAGTATTTCTAGGTATACAGTAAAAAGTATATTATATCTGTAATACTCAGAGTATGCTGAATTATGCTACATTTTTTAAATGCATTTTAAGATTTACTCTATTCTGGCATAGATTAAACTGATTTTTCTTTGCCAAATAAGCTTCAGCAAACCAAAAGCTAAGGGATACCATCAAATTGTGGCCTGCATTATTACCCAGGAATACAACAAAAAATACCATATACAACACATTTACATACACAATTGTATTTAATTCTAGTTTCTTATAAAAAAAAAATACAGTATATCATGGTTTACGGTGATTTTAGAAAAAAAATGTTAATGGGAGTTATTAATGACAATGGTTTTTTCGTCTTCTTTTTAACAAACCCCAAACAAGATTCAACCGATCTAAACAAGAACCAGAAATATTTGTTTTATTTATATCTCCCTTTCTCTGTGAATCCAAACAGAGACCAACTGATGCCGATTTCAGAACAGAACAGTCTAAAGTGGCAAAAACTTTAATTAACGCAATCACACACAAAAAATCCAACATTGCCAGTCAATGCCTGTAAAAATGTCTTACCAAATGTGATCTTTCCCTTGTCTTGGCTATCTATGGCCCTGAAGAGTTCAGAAACAGCAAGATCTCCAACTCCCAGAGCAGTTTTTAGAATGACGGTCAGTTCGTCTTCAACAATAGCTCCGTCCTCCTGTGCTTCAAACATCTGCATACAAAAAAAAAACATCAATCACTCCTACCATCAAGACCTAAAAAGAGCATGTTTATTGTATCATAATTTATAAATATTGCTATTACATTTAATGAAGTATATCATGTGTGATTGTAACAATGAACGCTTGCATAAGCCCAACTCACCCTGAAGGCCAGTTTAACGGTGTCCAGATATCTGAAAGGTCTACAAACCACTGACAGAGCGATGACGTATTCTCTCACATCCATCATCCCATGCTGGAAACCAATCATTCAGTGTCATCACAATCATGTAAACACTATGGATTACAAGTGATATGTTTGAAAGCACATTTATTTGCAGCTAGTGTGTGCTTTAATAAGAATATTTGTTGAGTGTTAAACCTCTTCAAATAGTGAGAAGATATCCTGGACTGCTTCTGTCATGGGTTGGTGGAGATACTGAGCAAAGCCCTCCATGTCCAGTCGTCTTCCACACAGCTGACGGGCACTGCAAGCTTCTTCTTGCAAGACTTCATCTGTGACTTTTGTCTTCAGGCTGAGAAAAATAAAATAAAATGATGTGCAAGATATATTAAAAATATTAATAATCTTACTCAAAGTCTTTGAGTAATAAACATGAACCAAATCTATCTATCTATCTGTCCATCCATCCAGTTTTTTATAATGCATCTCAGAGTGTATCTCACAAAATATTTTTAAAAACAGCTTTTGTCTGTGTATGTATATATAATATTTTAGGATAGTTTTAAAATTCAAATAGGACTAAGCAGTAACCTCATAATGTACGAATCAGCTCAGAACTTTTAGAATGTCACAAGTACATGTGCAAGTCACTTTTTGGTTTTAAAACAAAACAAAAACACTGTAGATCCTTTTTTTTGTGGAATGATGAAAGCCATTTCATGATATACTGTGTTAAAAGGAGAAAGCAAAGTGGATGCAAGCAGCACAGAGAGAGAAGTGGATGAGCCAGAATAACAAGAAGACAAGAACATCAGGATCTGTAGTTTGAGAAACAGACTCCACACTGGTGCTCAGCTGGCGGCTTCACTGAACAGCCCTGAGATGCTGGGCTTTTAAGAATTTCGGATGAAGAAAGAAATATCTGACATTGTCCAAAAAAAATAGTGTGGTAAAAGAATACAAAAAGAGCATGTTGGAGGGATGAATCCAAGTTTGATATGTTTGATCTGTTATGTGGGAAGAGTTTGTAACACATTTGAAAGTATGAGTATTTTGAGCTGAAACTTTACAGACACAAAGGCTTATCTTACATCTTGTAAAAGTAGCACTGTGCAATTAATCTAAAATTCAATTTTGATTTTGGCTTTTAACGATTATGAAAATCATTAAATGAGATTATTGCATCATATACCGCCCCCTTTCCAGTTGTACACATTTGTTGCTCTGCAAAGCTCAGTTTCACATAAAAATGACTAAAACATGTGCTGTAATGTAAATTTTGCAGCACAGGACGCACATTATTCATTGATGAACATTCAAATCATTCATGTTTTTACAAGCGCTAAAGAGATTGCATTCTGTGTGTGTGTGTGTGTGCGGCATCTCATTCGCACACTGCGCTCAGAGACAAGCAAGTCATCTTAATGTGAGCGCTTTATTGGTCAAATAGGTGTCAAAACGCGGTGATTTCATGATTACTTATATTAACCCTCATTTGTGCAATAAACAAACGAGTTGAGACTAAAAATCAAAAGACACGTAAAAGAGAAACCACTGTTTTTATCATTATTAACCAAACAACAAAAAGGAGAAAAAAAAAATCACTCACTGATTTTGACTGAAGGACTTTTTTAGCTAAATTTTTTTTCTTAAAATGAAGATGCTTAAAGCACAGTTTGTTTCATATTTTTATTCTATTGTATGTATTTCCCTTTCCTTACTTACAAGGGGGGGGGGGGGACTGTATACAGTATATGCAGTTGAAGTCAGAATTATTAGTCCTGCTGAATCATTAGCAGCCCTTTTCCAGCCAATTTCCGTTTAATGGAAAGAAAAAAATATACATAGTTTTAATAACTTGTTTCTAATAGCTGATTTCATTTATCTTTGCTATGATGATAGCACATTTTACTAGATGTTTTTCAAAATACAAGCATTCAGATTCAAAGTGCGATTCAAAGGCTTAATTAGGGTAATTAGGCAAGTCATTGTATAACAGTAGTTTCTTCTGCAAACAATCAAAAATAAATATTGCTTAAGGGGGCTAATAATATTGACCTTAAAATATGTTTCAAAATATTTAAACCTGCTTTTATTCTAGCAAAAATAAAACAAGTAAGACTTTATCCAAAAGAAAAAAATTTATAGGAAATACTGTGAAAAATTCCTGAATCTGTTAAACATCACTTGGGAAATATTTATTTAAAAAAATAAATAAATAAATTCACAGGACCGCTAATAATTTTGACTTCAACTGATAATCGAATTATTATCTTGATCAATTATTTTGAATAATCGTGATTACAATTATGATCAAAATAATCGTGATTATAGTAAAATTGGGGCCCTTTAAAAAATTGTATGTATTACATGCCATAAATCTGTGTGGAGGAATCTGGTCCTTTTGTGATCAAAAGTGCCAGTACCCCCTTTTTTTTACAATTTTATTGTAAGAGATGTTCTTTTTTGTTTTTTCTTTCAGTCAAATTATAAATGGTTAAACAAATAACCCGAGAAAAAGAAAGGGACTAAAAAGAATAAATGCGACAAAAAAAATTATTGAATAAATACTGTTACTGAAAACAAGAATAAATTAAATGTTTAAGACATTAAAATAAATTGCAATAATATTTCCCTTTTTATGATTGTATTGCATATTTACCACATTAGGAAATTTGGTGTTCAAATAGTACAAACGTTAAATAGTTTATATATCGCCACAATGATAGCTTTTGTACCTTTATTTCTGACACTATAACATAAAAAAAAAAAAATGTATTAATCAATTTGTTTAACTAAATGAAAGTTCTATGTAGACCTTATAAGCATTTTTTTCCCCTGTACATCCTCATCTTATTCACTAGAGGGCAATGTGTTCAATAACCAACACAGTCGAACACTTGTGTAAAATAAATTCTCAGATCCTCATCCAAACCAACCCATGCTGAACTTCCTTTAATGATGAGTGTAGTGCTGGCAGGCAGAGTTGTGTTTGTCTTTTCTGCAGTCAGTAAAGCACTGTTCAAACTATTGAACATACAGTAATGATTCTTTACCATGTGGCTATACTGATGTAGAATTGATTAAACTCTAAATACACAGCAATTTATGACCATTGTTTAGCTGAATGACACTTTAAAGCAATATATTAACAAAATCATGGTAGTAGACTTAAGACTTGCTGGCTGCATATTAAATATTTTATCCATTTATCGAAAATGAATCCCTGTCTGAGCATCTGAGATTAGACATGGATTCAAACATTACATTCATGATTTTCAGCAGTATCACAACACACTGAGAGCGTACATTAGCACTTTTGGCATCCAATAAACTGATAGGAACCAGAAACTGGGAGGAATGACATCAGACTTAACAAGTGAATACTACCACATGCAGAGGTGAGCAGTGGAGGATTGTGCTGACTGGCTTGTGTCTGTATTAAATGTTCTTCTTGTGAATTGCAGAAGCTCTTATTCATGTTATTAACTTAAGCTGCAATTAAGATTTTTATTTTTATTTATTTTTAATTATTATTATTATTATTATTATATGTGCTTTCATTATTTTTATTAATACATTTTTTAGAATCATACTGGTATGTTTTACTGCTGCACATTTTGTCTGTAAAGTGCATTGAGATGCAACTTTTAAGACGCTATATAAAAAAGTATATTATTATTATTATTATAAATACTTAGTATACTGCTTTATTCTATATATACACGTTCATAATAATCAAACATTTTAATCTAATTCAATTACAAAGGGATAATAGAAATATCAATCTTATAGTTATATGTAAAAAATAATAAAAAAATAAATAAATAAAAATGTTTTAGTTATTAACATCATTAAATAAAATGATTAAATTAGTGTAAATGTGTTATTAAAATGTGTTATGTAAATATGGCATTAACTAAGAAAGTAACATTACATAAGACTAATAAATGTTTGGCTGTCATTACATTAACTTAAATGAAGTTAAAATAAACTGATGTTAACAATTGGCACCTTACAAAAAGCCTATAAAAGTCTCAGCATTTTCAATATAAAAGACAAGATTATTGGAAAATGTTAAATGTTTAAAAATAAATAGCATTATGAGTCTTCAAGAAAAAAACATGATCATATATTATATTATTGAATATTGGTATTTGTCTTGATTGTAAAAAAAAATGCTGGGTTCCACACAACAAAAATTGTGTTAAGAGAACATGAAGCAATTAAGTTCACTTATTAGCATTTACAAATTTAAGTGAATTGAACAAAAAACAATTAAGTTGTCCTCCAAAAATACTAAAGAATTGTGTTGATTCAGCTCAATTTAAATTAGTTTGAACACACAGCATATGTAATTTTATATAGAGCTGACTATGACTGATTCAGCCAATAACCAAACTTAGCACCTTGCATCCCGAAGGCTTCCGAAATAGCCTTCACTTTTACAACCCTAACTCAGCTGTTTAATAATAAACCTGAGCACTGATGAGAAAATTACAGATTAAGCCTGTTATTATTTTAAAAGACCAACCCATCTGCTGGTCTGCTGGATTTACACACGAACCACCCAAAGTCCATGTTCATCCAGAGATCACCTGATGCACATTGATCCAAGAAATGTCCAGTGCTTTCTCATGTTGACAATCCCATGTTGACACACCAGCTTCTAGCAACCACAGGAAAACTTTCAACTGACTGTCTTCCTGTTATTCCCAGACTGATTGGTCATGCTGCTCAGGAAATCTGATTGGTCATTCTATTCAGGACGTCCTCATGATAACAGATGAAAAGAACAGCATCAGAGAACTCTATGGTGTATTCTACATTTATTAGATGAATAAAGTATTTTGCATACACAGTAGAAATAAAATATGTTAATATAAAATGTTGGTGTGTTTGTGAAATATTATTAAAATTTAAAAGGACAGTTTCCTTCATCTATTTCTCCAGTATTCAGTGTGACGTGAGCAGAATAGTTTTTAATATGCTGAAGTGGTATTCATGAAACATTATCATTAAGTGTGGAAATCGTAGATGGAAAATAAAAAGTGGAATTTACTAGATAATTAGTGAAAATGGTTGGAGAAATACATTCTGCATGGATTTGGAGATTTTCAAAATGCATTCCTACAAAGTGCATCAATTTTGTTTTTAACAGCAGATCGTGCTGTATTCCTTATAGATAGTGGTACTCTGCTTGCATCAAATTCATCAAAAATCCTACTTAAAACTATAATAATTCTAAATAATTTTAGGAAAGGTTTAATCAAATTACAGGTAGAGCTGCACAATTCTGGCTAAAATGACAATCACGATTTTATGTTTGGTTAAAAATAAAGATCACAATTTTCTCACAATTCTGTAAATGTAAAATAAAGGTTATTATAAGTAGGCTATAATAAAAGCAATAACATTATTATGTGTAGGTCTACTGTTAATTAAAATGCTTTGTATAGATTTGCAATGGTGGACTTGAACAGGCTTTAAATTTGTCCTGGTAAAGTACACAGTAAAGTGATGACATCAGAATACAACTATTTATAATTCTAAAGTTGAATTATAACGTATGAGACATATGCTAGCAATCTGTCATTGACAACATTATTTGACCATTTTTATAGTAGGTATACTGACACTGTTAAATGTTTATTTTCATGCACAACACTGTGTGTTAGCTAAGAAATAAAAAAACAAACATATTAAATGCTTGTTGTAATCATCACTCTAAAATGCGATACCATTAAAATGGTGCGCGCACTTTTACTGCTGAGTGCGCTATGGCTGTCGTCACTTTGAGAAAGAAAAAACAAAAAAAACACATGCAAATCTTATCTCCCGCATGGCTCCCAAGTGATCGTGTGCAACAAACTAAATATTGTTTAAAACTATATTAGCTGTCAATATAGCCTGTGCATCATGAAAGTAGACATCATGTACAGATGCACGAGATCAAGATCTGTTTTCGATTAATCATCCAGCCCTAATTACAAGATTGTTCATAGTGAGCAGTTTACATTAATCTAATGACATAAAAGCCAAATTACAAGATGCAAATTTGGGTGTATACTGCCAAAAACTAGTATCAGTAAAATCTAAGCTTAGAATCAATTCAAGAGAGAATAGCAATGCACTAAAAAAAAATCTCAGAATCAATGAAGGATCAATGTCTCACCACAACTGTAGAATTTACTGTATAATGTCAACATATTTGCAAAGTGCACTGGTCTGAACCAGAAAATCATCCAGCAGGTGGTGTAATGTCCCAATATGTAAAGCTACCATCTAAAAATGATGTTTACCAGAAACAGCAAATATGTTGAATAAAAGGTCAAATAAAATAAAAAGTTGCTTTAAAATGGTAGTTTCAACTATAATTTCATGCAAATGTGACCATCTACTCACCCCAAAAGTCGCACCAGTCTGGCGAATTCTAGCAAGCAGGTGTGTTTGGGCAAACGCAAAGGGCCTTTGGCCATGGCAAGCTGGCAGTCCTCAAAAGAGTAATCGATAATGGGCAACCCAAGTGCCCTATGGAGAAAACACAATGTTTTTGTTTTACCAAAACAGAGCCCTTTAATAATAAATGGCAAAACTAAAACAATAAATTATATGAATACACATGGATCTATGCACATAAAATTAATACATCACAAGAATTTCATTTGTTTTTTTATTTTAATACACCATTATTAATTGTTAGTAAAGTTTACTATTCGCACACTAGTTACACATTTTTGCCCTCGTTCTAGTAAAATTGTGCACAATTAATAATCACTACTAGGTGCTGGTGCTTTATGTATCTTCATTAGGCTACGTATCAGAGGCAAGAACCACAAAATTGTACAAGCTAAAAGTTCTAGAATTACCTAGAAAAAGTGCATGAACTGCTTAAAACAAGGCAATGAACTAATAGATTGTGCACCCTTTTTGGTAAATCAAGGTAAGAAATTAAGAAATTGGGTACACGATTTACTTAAAATAAGAGAGAACAAATCCATAAATCATGGAGACAAACTAGTAAATTGAGGGAGCAAATTAACAATTTGTTTTCTTACATGTCATGTGCAGGGCTATGTACCTCTACCTGGCAAAAAATAACACCTTTTTCATCACAAAAACTGGTCAGAGCTTTTCAACATCCACTCACTTGGCCATGATGCGTCTCACATTGCTGGCAAACAGGGCTGGATCTTTCTTCTCCTCTTCTGACGGAGTGTATGTAGGAAGATACTAAATAGACAGAATGATTTTTTATTATTTATTCTCATTTACAATTAAATGCAATGCATTTACCTAAAAACAGTTAAAAACAACAAAACAATACTACCAACATATTAAGGTAACAGATAAAGAGCTGAAATTATTTAAAACAGAAATATCAGTTTAAAAAACATCAAAAGCTGGAAAAAAGCTGAACTAAAATTTGAGAATTACTAACATAGGAAAAAGTTATTTTATAAGTCAGTGGAACATGACAAAGTTGAAGAAAACAATAAAAGTCAAAACAAAACTGAAAAAAAATTATAATTTTAATACTAAAATATTAAGTTAAAAACTTACCTCTATCTCAACGAAGTTATGTAGCTGACACAATGTAAGCCACAAAATCTTAAACCTGAAGAAGATAAATTGATCATTTATAATTCAATTATATAATATACAAACACACATAACCACTCTATTGACAATTACTCCAAAATTCGGAGAACTGGTTTAAGGGTTGCCTTTTTAATATATTATCCATAAGCAAATATATCACTGTAACAAAATGTTCAGAATCATATTCTCACTTTCATGCGGTTCCAAACCTGTATGCATTTCCCACTTTTGCTGAAAAAACTTTGCTTACTAAGTTTGACTTAAAAATGGAAGTCAGTGGGAACTGAAACTGTTCAGTTTACTTTGATCAACATATCTTAATTTGTCCTTAGCAAAAGACAGAATCTCAAACAGGCCTGGACTGACATTATGGTAAGGAAATTGTGGAAAAGTTTTTATTTTTGAGTGTACTCTCTCTTTAAATGAACTAAAGAGAACTCACGCTCCAGGCCCTTGCCACGTCCATGAGATTGTATCCTGTCAGAGAAGTGAGAAGAGAAACAAGGAAATGAATTAGCTTAACAAAGCAAACAATACATTTAGAGTTATAATAGCAGAATCCACCTTAACAAGTGCACTACCCTCTAAACCACTCAACCTTAATCTTTCTCTTCTGACAGCATGACCTTGATTTCTGACCATAAAGGGGTCATTAACAATTCTGATTTGTGCTGTTCTTAAGGTATTAGGCTGTTTTGGCCTGTTTTGACTCCCTCATCAGAACAGCAAGTAAACACCCACACAGTCTAACCATTTTGCATATTTACATCTGAAAAGCACAGCTGTGTGTCAAGCAATGTAAACTTCTGCATTTGGCACCCTACATCCCTTATAGATGTGACATGATTCAGGCAAATGTGATGTGATTAAGACAAAAATGCACAAATAATCAGTATATATATTTTTTTTATAAAACAATCTACAACAAGACAAAGCAATAGTGAACACAAAACTCACTTACACTCGTTTTCTGTGAAAGTACTGTCAGGTTCAATATAGCCAACAGGGAATCGACTTTTAGTGTAAGACATTCCTAAAAACCAGTGCCATTGTAAATTGTTTGTAAATTAATCCATGGTAAAATGAAGTGGACAAAAGGACAGATCTTTCTGATGCTATCTGGTACCTTACTAAAAATAAAGTCATCCATCTTTTCTTAGTGTTGGGATCAAAGGAAGGACAATCCAAAGACTGTATTTTTTTGCATAGTCGCACAGAACTAGGGCTGCACAATATATAATTTCAGCATCAATATCGCAAAGTGATCATTTGCAAAAAAATTTGGGTTATAATTTATCATTTGCATGCATTTTTGAGGCCTGTGACTGTATTACGATTTTAACAGCATTCAGGTATAAGAAAATGTCCCATTTGTAACTTGATAACAATGAATATTATTGATTTTTATTATTATTATTATTATTATTATTCAGTTACTGTACCTGAATATTGTTAAACTGAAAACAATAAAACACTGTTTATTTCAATTGATTATTTTTCTTTATTTTATTTATCAATGCTAGTATATTGTTTTTTAGATTTTATGCAAACACACTCCCTTCCGAACCAGACTCTTGGTTTTAACTCTGTTATTCGCAGATGATGTTGCTCTGTTGGTTTCATCGAACATGGACGTTTCGCATGCACTGGGGCAAATTGCTACCAAGTGTGATGCGGCGGGGATGAGAATCAGCACCTCCAAGTCTGAGGCCATGGTGCTCCACCCAAAAAAGGTGGTTTGCCATCTCAAGGTTGGAGGACAGTCCTTACCCCAGGTGGAGGAGTTCAAGTATCTTGGAGTTTTGTTCATGAGTGAGGGAAGGATGGAACGTGTGATTGACAGGCGGATTTGTGCAACGGCAGCAATAATGCGGTCGATGTACGAGTCTGTTGTGGTAAAGAAGGAGCTGAGCTAAAAGGCAAAGCTCTTGAATTACTCGTCAATCTACGTTCCTATTCTCACCTGTGGTCATGAGCTTTGGGTCAAGATCTTAGATTCAAGGGGCCGAAATTAGTTTTCTTCGCAGGGTGGTAGGGCGTTCCCTTCTAGATAGCGTGAGGAGCTCTGTCACCCAGGAGGAGCTTGGAGTAGACCCGCTGCTCCTCCACATCGAGAGAAGTTAGCTGGGGTGGCTCAGGCATCTGATTCAGATGCCTCCTGGACACCATCTTAAGGAGATGTTCCAGATATGTCCTACCAGGAGGAGAAGGCCTCTGCGAAGACCCAAGGATAAGCTGAAGATACTATGTCTCTCGGCTGGTCTGAGAATGCCTTGGGATCCCCCTGGAGGTGCTAGAAGAGGTGTTTGGGAAGGGGGAAGTCTGGGGTTCTCTCCTGAGACTCCGGCTCCAGAAAAGCAAATGAAAATGGATGAATGAACACACTCTTATACAGGGTCATCCCAATCAATATAAAATTAATAATTATTTTCAAATACACATTCTCAAGTCTTATGATGAAATTGTATATTGATATTACATAGTCATACCACAATATCTACATTTCATATAATGAAAAAATACAATATAAATACAATCTAAAAATATTTACTGTATAATATATAGTTATTTTACAATATATAATCATAAAACAACAAAATATCACTATGTTTAATTTTCCAATATTATGTAGCCCTAGTTAGATTGTCTTTAGCATTTGGTTTCTACTTAGATCTGCATTTGTCTCACTTGTTATTTACCTACTACAGTGTGAATAAGTGGGCAGAGCCAAATAGACAGTGATGTACAAATGGGAGCTGATCTTCTACTGTGGAGGTGGAGCTTAGCTGCACTAATATAAAATAAAAAGCCACAACTTGTCATTTTGGCAAACTGGTTCCAATTTAAATAGTTTTTAGACTAACAACAAAGTTTCGAGTTTCGGCCATCTTTGAAACGCCTCTTGGGCAGTATGCTCGGGCATTCTGTTTGAATGTGGAAACATCCAATTTTTAAAAATTGCTTACAAAGCTTAAAATTAATTCCCTATTAAGAATTATCAATAAAATGAAACAACAACTTTCTCTTTAGTTTCATTTCTAAATGCTCGAATTACAAAATCTGCAAACAATCCAATCTGGTCTGAACCCCTCCCCCAGAGAATCCTCAATCTATAGTGATTGCTAATTGGCTGCTGTACTAGAAGGTGGGAATTCATTCACCATATTGACCATTGCACTTTCCCCATTTAAAACTATATGAGTGGCATGTCTAGCGTATTCTATAGCCTTTGACTTGACCCATCAAAAAAAAAAAAAAATTATAATAAATTAAATAAATCAAGGCTGAAAAAATAATAATAATAATAATAGAGAAAACGTGCCCAGATAAAAGCCAAGTTGTTCTGCAGTTTAAACGAAACTTGATTGCTGGGCTTGTATTATTTATTTAAAAAAAATAAAAGACAAAAGAGAAAGCTGTCAGTGGTGTATATAACATTCAATTGGTCTTTTAAGTCTCCATAACTACAAACACATCATCCACAGCTCCACAAAGTAGTACATGACTCTACATTGACACAAATGACACACCCTTGTTTGAGTGTAGTTGACTCTTACCAACTCATTAGGATACCGCAACACGACAGGCTGGACAGGAACGCCAGGGATGAATGCACCTGCGGGACAAAAGGATGGTAAACCAGTGGGAAAGGAAGAGAGAGAGAACTTGACCTCAATCCAGTTCAAGGGCTGGGTGTGCCATTAACACTACAGCCTGTCCCTTTTGCTGTTCTGAAACATGAGATGTGTGTGAGAGTATGGGTGTGAGCGCAAGTACCCAAATACTGACATCATTCCACTTCAGTCTTTTAATATTCAGATATGACTGCAAGACAACGACTTGCATTATTCAAGATTCGAAAAGAGAGCTTTGATAAACTAAATATCATAGTTTATACAGATTTTTGTTTCAACCATGGTTTATGAGGATTTTTAAAATGTTCAGTGGTGTTATTAGAGTCAGAAAATTCTTATACAGGCTAAATAAATTTAACTCCAGTGGTTTGTGATGATATACTTAAGTCTGATTAAGTGAAACAATCAGTCTGTGTACTAAAGACTGTAGATTAAAGGTAATAGTGGAGAAAATAATGTTCAGTTTCTTGTATATTTTGCTTTATAATGATCAAGATTTCAAATAAAAAACAAAAATAACTCTTGTATGATTTCCTACATCTTGGAAGGCCTGAGGATGATTGAATATCTTAACGCTTAAAGTGTTTTTTTTTTTTTTTTTTGGTTGATGTAGGTGACTTATTTTGTCAAATTTTATTTGTCTTGAAAAAAGTGTTACAAACTTCTCATACTTGGTGTAACACATTAAAGGGGTGGTCCAGAGTGTATTTTTAAGGTTTGGTTGTGCTTACAAGATACAAAGCAATGTGTGCTCATGCCTCATTTGTAGAAAATCACATTAATTTTTTTTCATATATCTTACTTGAATTATATACTGCTACTCAGCTAACATAAAAACGACTGTAATATTTCCAAGTTCCTCCGAAAGCCAACTCTCATGAGGCTCTGATTGGTCAGCTAACATAATATGCTGTGATTCGCAAATCATCTCCACGTCAACAGTGTCACGCCCCTATAAGCACATGCTTTTGCACTGTGCAAATACTGTCAGTAAGAGTAGCTGTCAGCCATATCAGTTTGAGCCTGAATCAGACAGAAATTGACACACAGGACACGGCTGAACTTCACGCCAGCTTTCTAAAATAAAACTTGACAAGTGTCTTTTATGTATATTTGGGTTATAAGCATGTGTAAGCAATATGAAACGGTCGCATATATTTTGCTTATTGTTATTGTTATTTGAGATGTGGAGCGCAGGGAAAGTGGCTGCATAGAAAGACACTCCATGCGCTGCTAAAGAATGTGGCTGTTTACAGGAATTTGATGAATAAATATAAATTTGTAGCTAAATTGTTAACGGTGCCAAACAGCATATAATTAATGCTAGCAACTATGCATGTAATAGATCAATTTTAACAAATAAAAATACTTGCAGGTTGTGGCTCACAATCCACAGCTTGTTCTATTGGTTGGAGCTGCTCGTTCTTTGAGGAGTTTTTAGCCAAATGCAGCACTGAACTGGGAGAGATTCTGGAAGCTGTCCTGTCAAATGCTAGCTATATATATTTTTTATAATTCTCTGGAACATAATTAAAACTAAACTGTAAGCACTTCTCTCTGTGTCCTCTGGAAGTCCAAATACAGAAACAGAACAAGCTCTGTGGAAATTGCAGCATTCGGACAGCATTTTAGCTTTTTTTGCTATAACATTACAGCGCCTCTGGCCACGCTCCTTCACTGCGCGGGGTGTATGCGTGTGGTGAACACGCGTAACCTGAAGCATTTGTAATCTCACTAGCTTGGATGTATTTTTTTGTAGTCCCCAAACTTCATCTGCTGTAGGCTTTGCTAAGCTAACTCTATAAAAGCCAATGTCTTCCTTTGCCTTGAACTTTAAGCATATCACATTCAGAGATGTTGTTTATGTTCACACATTACACATCAACTAAAGTTTAAAATATGATATCGTAGTGTACTACTCCGTTAAATTGACTACACTAATCACACAGATTTGAACCAACATCCGGTGAATAGCAATTTAAAAAGTTTAAGTAGAAATACATTTAAATTTGGGTTTTGTTGTCTTCCCTCACAGACATTTCATTATTTTTTTAATTTTCTTTTTAGTTCTTCTGTTGTCAGTTTTCAAGATCACATTGTGACATTTTTGGCTTTCTGCTAAACATCTCATTTTGACTCAAAAGGAGCGCCTATTGTTCTCCTCCTACAGATCAACTGTGATCTAGTTTTTCCACATTTTGAGTTCCAGTTCCAGTCAGATCTCATCACTTCTGTAAACGTGCAGAGAGACGAGAGATGCCCTTCAGCTTACAAACAGCTCCTTATTACATGCTGTTAATAGAAACAAACCAACTCTCCACTGAGACCGAACTCACTCACCTTTGCCAAACTCAATGCAGCTCTTCAACAGAGAAGGTCAACCAAACCAAAACATACAAACAACAAACTACACTGCAAAAGTATCCACTCATTATGCCTAAAATCATCAAGTCTTAAATGAGATGCATTGCGTATGAATTCTAAAATTCAAGTCAATACTCAATGTAGAATTCGCACACTGTTTATAACTTAACCTCAAGAAACACAATATTCACCCTCAATTTGCACTCTTTTGTAGTTCATTAATCAATATAATGACGATGGAAGCATATATCGTATAATTGTAATATAATGACATATGCCAACAACATATTAACATTACTAAACATGTTCGGAAAGCACCAGAACTTTCTAAACACATTCACATCTGTTATTTGTGTTGGGAGGGCTGTCTGGCAGCACACAGTCCCAGCTGATGTTGTTTGGTACAGTGAGAGCTCCAGAATTAAAGGTTGTGGAGAGAAAAGTGAGATAGCCAGACTATAGCAAGCATGGGACAGAGAGAGGAGGGGTGAGGATTAGGGGAACAGAGCCAGTACAATGACTGACAGAGGACAGGGGGATTTGAGCAGAAAAGACCATCAGAGCTAACAGCAGACACAGGAAGAGGAAGCCAAACATCCAGATCTCTCAGCGCTCTGAACCAAGATGAGCTGCAGATTAGAGAGGGTACAAACAGACACCAAACACCAAAGCGCACACATCGTACCCTGACTGAAGAATCTCTAAAGGGGTCATGACTTTTTTTATAAAAATTGCTATTGATAAAATATGATAAAAAAAAAAAACTTCTCATACTTGCCAAGATATTTCCGTGCATTGTAACAAATTTTTACTTATAGTGTATGTTCATATTAGTTAAGGCCACTTAATATTAAGTGGGACCAAATAAAATAAAACAACATGTAAAGCCATTCATGTTTACAAACACAACATTGACCGTTTAGAGGTCATTTCTGGTAAATGTTGTCACATACATCATATACGTGTATTCTGAAACTTATTTGTGAGCAGCACTTTACTGGTTAAAAAGATGGAAAATCATTATATGTGTTAACAGTGCGTTTTTTTATTTGACTGTAAAGTTGTTATAATAATTATACATTTATTGATTGATATTTCTGTGTGACGGGGGCTATTTATTACACACCCTGATGTTGAGACTTTTGTTTATCCTTGAAAGACAACTGAAAATACTTCATATTATCTCTGAGAGACTTGAGTCCCTCCATTGACAAACTATACCACTTAGATTAATCAGAAAGGTGATGGAAAAAAATTATTAAATTGGTCTAGGTGATTCAAATAACATGTTATGAATCATTAGAAGACACATGAACTATAACGGAGTTACCATTACCTTTCTGGACTTATAAAAAGAGTTATTTATGCAAGCAGTCAATCACGAGGCAGAAACATCTCAGATTTCATTATAAATCTCATCAAATTGGCCAAATGAAAGACTTACAGGTCTGGAACAACATTAGGATGACAATTTAAAGACGACATTTTCAGTATTGGGTGAATTTTACCGTTAAAAGTTAATGAAATAGCATATGTCATATGATTTAAAGCTCAAATATATTCATATCTCATATGTCAAAAAATAAATCAATGACATTTTGATATGCCATGGCTTTTTTAACAATTCTTTAAAAGAGATGCAAAAAACAAACTTCCACAAACATTCTGAAAAATTTTTGATCATGGCAAGTGTGTTTAGTCAGCAGATATTAGAGGCGGGTACAGACAGCGAGAGTGTACACATACCAGGCTTAAATGCGATGAGACAGGATCTATTGGTGCATGTGCCCTCCGGGAATATCATGATCTGAAAAAGCCACAGTCAGAGGGGAAATACCTCAGCGGTGCTCTCTAGTGCACTCACTCAAACAAAATGGAATAGAAATGTGCTTTGGTGCTTAAAATGAATGAAAGTGCATACTATCACAAGTCTATGTGTGTTTATTTGGTACCTGAGGCCATTCGCCATTAGATGACGCTCTACGTTTGATCTCCTCGACGGTCTTCCTCCGGGAGTCCTGATCCGAGCGGGACACAAACACTGGCCGAATGAATTTGATAAGAGCTGAAAGTGGAGAAAAAGGGAAGTTTGAGATAAGAATAGCTCAAAAGGAGAGTTTAATCTTTTGATAGCCAAATCCAATTCTAAATGCTGAGATTGTAAATAGAGAATTTTCTGTAACAATGATGAATAGGGCCACCGCACAAAAAAATGCAAATCGATTTCCTTCACATTCAAATTTAAAACAAATCTCCTCTTGATTCAGTTTAGAAACACAAAAATAGAAAAAAAATCTTAGCAGATCATAAATTGTAGTCATTGTAGTTAAAGTGTAGTCACAGTGAGGGGTAAAATTGGGGGTCAGTAAGTTATTATTATTAGAAATTAGTATATTTGTTCAGGAAGGACGTGTTAAATTGAAAAAGTGACAATACAAACTTGTATTTTTGCATTAAAAAAAATCTATAAATGAATAAAATACACTCACTGGCCACTTTTTTAGGTACACCTTACTAGTACCAGGTTGGACCCCCTTTTGTCTTCAGAACTGCATTAATCCTTCGTGACAGATTCAACAAGGTGCTGGAAATACTCCCCAAGATTTTACTCCATATTGACATGATAACATCACACAGTTTCTGTAGATTTGTAGGCTGCACATCCATGATGTGAATCTCCTGTTGCACCACATTCCAAAGGTGCTCTATTGAATTAACATCTGGTGACTGTGGAGGCCATTTCAGTACAATAAACTCATTGTCATGTTCAAGAAACCAGTCTGAGATGATACACGCTTTATGACATGGCACGTTAATCTGCTGGAAGTAGCCATCAGAAGATGGATACACTGTGGTCATAAAGGGATAGACATGGTCAGCGACAATACTCAGGTAGGCTATGGTGTTGAAACAATGCTCAATTGATACTAATAAGCCCACAGTGTGCCAAGAAAATACCTGCCACAACATTATACCACCACCACCAGCCTGAACCATTGATACAAGGTAGGATAGATCCATGCTTTTGTTGTTGATGGCAAATTCTGACCCTACCATCTGAATGTTGCATCAGAAATTGAGATTCATCAGATCAGGCAACATTTTCCAATCTTCTAGCCTGTGCCAATCGTAAGCTCAGTTTCCTATTCTTAGCTGACAGGATAACAACCCGGTGTGGTATTCTGCTGCTGTAGCCCTTCCACCTTAAGGTTGGATGTGTTATGCATTCAGAGATGCTCTTCTGCAAACCTTGTTTGTAACAAGTGTTTATTTGAGTTACTGTTGCATTTCTATCAGCTCGAACCAGTCTGGTCATTCTCCTCCGACCTATGCCATCAACAAGGCATTTGCACTCACAGAACTGCCACTTACTCAATATTTTCTCATTTTTGGACCATACTCTTCATAAATCCTTGAGATGGTTGTGCATGAAAATCCCAGTAGATCAGCAGTTTCTGAAATACTCAGACCAGCCCATCTGGCACCAACAACCATGCCACGTTCAAAGTCACTTAAATCACCTTTCTTCCCTATTCTGATGCTCAGTTAGAACATGCCTAAATGCATTGAGTTGCTCCCATGTGATTGGCTGATTAAAATTGGACAGTTGTACCTAATAAAGTGAGCCGGTGAGTGTATATGCATTAATTTATTTTTCATTCATTTTTAAATTATTTTTCTTTTTTTTTATTTAATTCATTTCAATAAAAGAAAAAAAGAATGAAAATACATTTAAATAAAAACAAACACACAAATTGTTTCCAAAATAATCACAGTTCTTACAACATTTTTAATTATTAAAAAATCTGGGACCGCTACATGTTCAAAGAAATATTAAGCACAACAAATTCTTTTAACAATAATAATAAGTTATTTTTTTATTTGTTTTTTATAGCATGAATCCTCATAATAGAATTATCTATGAGGAACTGTGTAACATTTTAGAAGAGAATGACGGCTGCTTAAAAAAAATACCTTTGCCATCAGATGAATGATTAATTTATTTTTAATTAAAGAAATGGCGAGGTTAAAATAGAGTCTAGTAAAAACTTATTAAAATTCCTTTTAAAAAAAAATACACTTTTGTATGATTGAAAAGGCCTTAACATAAAGGAGGGCATTATTTAACTACATTTCAATTAATCAGATGGAAAGAAGAATAGTTCTATGTTTGCATATTTCTATTTATACAATTCAAAACTCACTTCCCCAGACTGGAATGTCTTTACTCTCTGCCTTCATCACTATAGAGGCCATGGTCATGGTGACAGGGATGGCATCAAAGTAGGAAGAGTGAGGTGCCATCGTGAGGATAGGTGCTTCACTGGGCAGAGCCGGCCGACCCTTCACACGGACCCAATGAAACCCTCCGGAAAACCACATGGCCCTCATGATGGCCTTCAGGGCCAGATCCACCAGCCTGAAGAGGGAGAAATGGACATGGAGAAATGGAAAGTTAATAAGAAACAAATCCTTCTATCTGACACTCTATGACATAGGTCTCAAACTGCACTCCTGGAGGGCTGCAGTTCTGCAGTTTTGCTCCAAACCTAATTAAACAAAGCTAATACAACTAATCAAGGTGTTCAAGACTACTATGGAGTATGAAGCAGGTGTGATTTGGAGGTGGTTGGAGATAAACTCTGCAGAGCTGCGGCCCTCCAGGAATTGACTTTGAGACCACTGCTCTACGTCAAAGAAATTGCCTTTATATCCAACTGAATGTGGTCCATTTCATTTAGCATTTAAAGTGTACATGAAACTACACTGCAAAGTACTGACTACTCAATACGCAAAGCAGCAAAATGCATACATTCATGACCTGTGCCTCACTGGTGTTGCCAATCAAGCATGTCTGTTTAAACTTTCACTACAAATAAAGACAAAAAAGTGTCCTCTGCACACCTCACAAGAACAAACTTGTGCACAATGGGATATAGAAAGACAAACACACAGTAAGAGAATAGGAAAAGCAAAGTTATCATGTAGTAGGGAAACAGAGATAATGTGAATAGAGTAGGGTGTGTGTGTCTCACATACGTCAGACAGCACTTTTTTATTTTTAGCAAAGTAGCAAGATTTAGCTAGAAGATTCAGCTCAAAATAGTAAATTCAACTCCACAAAATCTGCTAATATTTACACTACGGCTTTGCTCCAAAACTTAGTAAACGATCAATGCTGGCAGCTAAATTCTGAAACAAGCATCTAACTAATGGACCTTCTATGTGTGACTGAACTAAAACATTGCACTTAATGGCCCGTTTCCACTGAGTGGTACATTACTGTTCGGTACGCTTTTGTGGCCGTTTCCACTGTCAAAGGTTACCTAAAAGCAAATCGTACCATACCACTTTTTGGTCACCCTTTGCAGAGTTTCTGCAGGTTTCACAAAGTTTCAAAGACATTTTCAAGACCATTATAAATGAAATTTTAAACATAATAGGAAAAGGGGGTTTGGGGGCTAACAATTCTGACTTCAACTGTACATGAAGTATTTTTTAATAAAAGTTTTGTAAGGAAAACAATTAATCATTATGGTACATAGAGTTAAAAGTTCAATTTCTAAATAAATAGCAGGGCTCAAAAAATGTATAAATCCTGGTAGCCCTTCAGGCAGGCACTCCCGTTAGTTTTTGGTAGACCGAATATAAATTTATGTAGCCCAAATAAAAAATACATATTTTTTTTACATAAAAACAAGCAAAGATAAATAAAAAAGATATAAATGGCATTTGTTTTAGGTTATGAATTCATTTTTAAATAACTAAAATTAAATTATTAAACTTTTAAAGTTTTTATTTAATATATTTTTTAAATAACAATGTTAACTTAACATAATTTTTTGGGTTATTTTTTTGCAGCGTTCCAATATGTTACAGAGTATATATAAAAAATATACTTTGTTGAAGTCATTATTTGAAGCTGACATGTAAGGTAACGGAATTAATCAGGAAGTTCTGTTTATGCTGCTGCTATAGACACAAAGTGATTTAAATATTAAACAAATGAGTATTATATTTAAAACTTAGCTGAGGCTATTCCTGTATCTGAATCTTATATGAACTTCGAGTGAGTGACGAGTGTTTGTGTGATTCAGTGCCATGCATTAAGAACAGAACAAGCAATTAAACTGACAGAAACACGATGTTGCATTATTTGGGAGGGAATATTGTGGCTTTTCTCCTTTATCAACAAGTGGATTTATTGCTGCCATGTCAGCAGCACAGCACATACATAATTATATATTTTGAGAGAATGTAAAAGCATTAAAATATATTTCCCCCAACTAGCCTGCTGGGCAGCATGTAGATAGATTTTGGTAGCCTGACAAAAAAAAAACAATAGCCTCAGGTCATCGGGCTACCGGATTTAGCGAGCACTGAATAGTAAACTTTTTTTATTGAAATGGATTGTTGGTGATTGCATGAGTGTTGACCAGATTGGGTAACTATACGTGAACAAAGGAAAATTAAGACCTTCTTAAAAAAAGGATTTAAGACCTACAACACAATATGTCAGTAGACTTTTTTTAATGACTTAAATATTTTTTTTAGATTTAAGACATTTTAAAACTCAAGACAATTTTCTTGTACATGTCATAAAGCACTCTTAAAATCAAGTAAAAAGAAACATTTGCAAATTGATTCCAGCATTTTAAATGTTAGCATGCTGCATCAAAAGCATGCCAAGTGTCCAAATCCATATGCAGACGATAACCTTTCTCGTCCTTTCACATTCAAATCAGGAATATGGTTCAGTTTTCATGGTAGGATTAAATCTGAATGTGTCAAAATCTATGATAAACAACTTTGGTAATAAAATACCTGCACTCCAAACTGTTGGATGTAGAGGATTATAAGTATTTAGGTGAGCAAGTTTGTCCAAAAAAACTAATGCAATTAATAATAAAGCACATAAAAGATTGTTTTTGTAGAGGAAATTTAACTAAATTAAGGTACATTTTTAAAATTCTCTATAATTAGTTCTTTGCATATACCCTGTCCATTTCTTTTGTTTCTTGCTCACTGTCCACAAACAACAAAAACTGTCTTCAAGGCATTGTTAATATGTGCACAAAAGTTTTAAGCGTTTTCTGTAAAGCCATGCATCCTATTATGGACAGCAAGTGTTGAGAATGGCACATTAGTTGAACTATTATTTTCAGTGGAGGCACCATTAGTGACATTTAAAGTCAGTTAGACGTTTGTTCCTGAAGCAATACAGTTATGTAAAAATGTAGTTAATTTTTAATTCAATAAAGGTGTTGTTTGAGTGTTGGTGTAATTGTGTTGGTTTGTGACTAAATATTTGTGAAGCACCACACAAGTCAGAACATTTTAATCTAAATTTCATTAATAATAAAACAATAATAATTACAGAAGATTTAAAACTGAACCCCAATAAGCACAATCAGAACTGAAAAACTAATTGGGTTTACCATCACAGTTTTCCCTTTAGATCGGTGTATGTAGTTCAAAATAATACATCAGAGTATTTCAAAATGAGACGGTCTCGGCCCATTTAAAAAGAGCTGAGGTGAAAAGGGTATTTTCAACCAATGAAACAATGTAAAATGTGTTAAATTAAATGTGGCCGCGTATTATAGAAGTTATAAAATAATATTATAGGTGACCATACTGATAATTGCGAAATTAAACGTAAGGTACCTCTTCACTTGATTAAATGTTCTTCATGAATTGCCTAGACAATTGTTTTCCATAATTTTTTATTACCACATGACTCTGTTGAACACTTAATTCTGGTTTGTCAGAAATAGTGAATTATCACAGCTCAGATTGATGTCTTGGGTCTAGATATTTTTTTATTTTTTATTTTGCAAGTAGTCATCTAAGAAGTGTGATAATGTACATCTAGCCAGTGGTTTTTGCAGAATAAAACCCTTTAGTCTTATACAACATTCATCCACTTCATGTCAGGCTGCTGATAAGCCTGTCAGGCTCTATTTTGTGAAAACAACTTGGTAGATGCACATTACCCCTTACATGATAAATGCCTGCTAATTGTGTACATTTTGTACTTCAATCTGTTGCCAAATTGTGATATTGTAACACAACATCAGAGGTATAAAAAATACCCTAAAACTAAAAAGGTTATAGAAAATAAAATTTAACACATGAGTTTTGGGCAGTAGCGTTGCTGCAAGTAGTGGCGGTAGAGTTGCTATTTTCTAAATCAAATAGCTATTATTTTTAGCAAGTAGCGCAGTAGGGTCCACACAAGCTAAATTTACTGATCTGTTAGGCCGGTGTCTAGCTGATGAAAGTAAATCCATATGATGGCGAGAATGGCGATTTCTTCTTCTTGCTGTTTTATGGTGGTCGTGTAATGATTGGTTAGTGTAATGATTATTAAATCTAACATTGCTGATCCATTACTCACCACCTCCACCAGGACAGGGGCTCAACTGCATTTTCAGAACGGCCAACAGTAGCCACGAATGCAAAGGGCCAGGCCAACAACATCATGAATGCAGCAAAGAGCAGACGAACAGGGAAAAGCGTCACAGTCATCACAGCTATCTAAAGCAGAAAGACAAAGAGTGTGTTAGAGGTAACCAGAGGTTAAAATCCCAAATAATTTTCACATGAATCCAGAATTTGCTAGTATGGCTTTTAAACAATGTTTTAGGGCTGAAAAAATAAACTGCAAGAGGCACTGAGAGAAGCCAGGAAAACTTTTACAATGAGACTAGCTAGTCCTAGTTAACTGGTTGAAAGACTGATGGGTGGTGTTTGAAATGCTTGAACAAAAGTATCAAGATTTGGATGTATGAGAGATTGAAATCTCTTTAGTTAATAATCAAAATTTTCCTGACACTAAAGAATGACTAACCCTGAGGCTTCTTTTACCAAACACATGTGGGTCAAAGTTAAAATGAGGTTTTAATCATTACAAATTTAGCTTTAAAATGTATTAAAGAATAGGTAAAAACCTGTAGTTACCAGAATAGAAATGTTGTTCCAAATTTGGTTTGTATCTGTAAAGCTGAATGATGCTGGTGCACCCTTATTTCAAATGTTTATTTGATGCCTTTTTCCTTCACAAAAGTTGCTTGTGACATTAAAGTGGACACCCTACTGGCATTCAATATAGTATGCTATGTTTACTATGTTTATAAGTTGACTTCTGTCAATTTAATTTGATGCAGACACCAAAACAGCCTCTTATTTGGGCAATATATGAACAGATGTAATCATAAACCCGATTCTACATTAAACTCACCATGAATAGAAAATATATGTATAGTATATATTTGTCATTACTTTCAAAAGTCCTGTTTTACAATTTAATAAAATGTTATATCTCTAAAACTCTCTAAAATAAGGAGTTTTCACAGTAATGATAAACTTTTTGTAAATACATAAAAAAAAAAATAAAAGGGGAAAGGGGGGTTGGCTGAGAGAAGCCTTTATATCTTATATAAGGCGTCTATGGCATTATATCTCATTTGTGGGCATCAGGGAGCGTCTATGCATATGCAGGAGACTCCTGGAGCTTTTGGGATGTTTGCAATGATATTATTATTATTTTTTTATTGATTTGATTATTATTTTTACTACATATGCATTTACAAACCTACAAAATGATTCAGGTTTTCTGCCCTCTTTGTTTTGGTTGTCAAGTTTTAATATGTGCATTATGCAAAGATATTTACAAAAACAGATGGTTTTATTGGCATTTTAATTTAAAATGCTTAAAAATATACTTACTGGAGTGTTTTGACGTTCAAATTTTGTCCAACTGTAAGAGTTGGGTTTAGTGGTAGAGTAAGGCAATTTAATGAGCAGTTTTACATCATAAAATACTGTACATTATGCTTATTAAGAGTCCTCCCATACCACATACAAGTGTGTGTGTGTGTGTGTGTGTGTGTGTGTGTGTGTGTGTGTGTGTGTGTGTGTGTGTGTGTGTGTGTGTGTGTGTGTGTGTGTGTGTGTGTGCTTGTGTTAGGCCTGCATGATTATGACAATACTCAAAATTGCCAATTATTCAATTTAAACTGTAATTGGGATTATTACATACACAATAATAACAATGTACATTTATTGATGCCTTAAATTGCTTACCATAATATTATATACATAACAATAGGTAATAAAAAGCTATTATTTTTCTCGTTGCCACAAATCTCAGTTACATCAGTTTAGTTTCTTGAAATAAAAAAGGAAAAATAAGCATGTTACGATTTAATAAAGGTGTCTGGAGAGCAAAAACAACATTTTGGAAAATTATATTATGACTGTGGAAAATAGATGAAAATGGACAAACAATCTTAATGTTTAATTCATGTATTCCTCTATAAGGAAATATGATAAAGCCAGCAAAAAAAGAATTTATGAGCTTTGTACAGTGCATTTGAAAATAAATAGATACAATCACAGAAATATAACCAAACCAAAAGTTTCACGGGGAAAAAGGAACTAGAGTGGCGCCAAAACAAACAAAACCAACAGCCACAAACTAGAAGACAAGATCACTTCTAAACTTATTTAAGAAAATAAAAATTTGAAAAAGAAATTGAAATCTTTACCGTATTCAATGCCAATAAAGTACGTGTCCTCAAATTATAAACAAAAATATAAAAAGTGGCGCTCACCCACTTACCTAATGTTTCTGAACACTCAGATATCTATGGGCAAAATGTACCAAATGAATATCCATGAAACTGAATAATATAATCAAGTTTAACACTGGATAGTGTGTGTGTGTACAGAAGATTTATAAATAACCCATCATACTATTGGTCATTTAACTTGACAATGATTCTACACTTTTAAATGAGGCCAGTTGGTTCTGCACAGTTCAAAATAACTGGAAATTTAATTATGCACTGCAAGAATTAGCCACATATGGTAAGTAATTTATGACATTACTACTGTATATAAGGAGAGCCATTATCTTAGAGTATAATGACATCACATGGCATGCTTCTATAGACAACTCAGAGAAACAAGATCACATAAGAGCGACATAAGAGAGAGCAGGAAATGAAGAAGAGAACAATGTCAACTGATTTCAGATACCTAATTTTTCTCTCTTGAGGAGCAGAAAAACAGCGTGCTCATCTGATAGTTTTGAAAGCATTGAAGTGCTACACTTTTCTTCTGCTAAACATGCGAATGATTCAAACTCCATTCATTGCATTTCAAACATTTCAGTCTAATTAGATTTTACTTCAGTTTAGCAGATATTTTTCAATTGTACACTAGTCTACTGATGTGGTTAACCACGGGAAGAGAATGATCAGGTCTGCATCAGCGTTTCTCTAATGACCCCATGACCACAAATATCTCAAGTTCCCATCAATGGTTTACATCTACGGTCCTCAGCAGCTCACACTGCTAAACTGAGGCTTGTGCTTAAAGGGTGTTCTGTTGAAATTCATGTACAGTAGTAAATGGGGGAAAAAATAGCTATGGGCAATTTTTGTAAATTATAAAGAACTGGTAAGTAACATGTTAAATTAACCATAAAGTGTTTTTTTTTTTTTCGTTTTGTAAAAAATATTATAGTAGTATTTTCTTGCTTATATATAAATACAGTGGGGGAAATAAGTAATCAACATGTCCCCATAAAGGTGCTGTTGCCTTGAAATTTTCACCAGATGTTACTAGCAACCAAAGAAATATAACAAATCTAATTAGTTTACAAATTAAGTTATGTGTAATAAAATGAAATGACACAGAAAAAAGTATTGAACACACAAAGAAAGGGAAGTGTAGAAAGGCAGTGAAAGCCCAGACAGCAGCTGCAATCTCTCAGAAGTTATTTAGCAACCCTCTACCCTTCATCATTGTAAATTAATATTAGCTGCTTCAGTCCAACATCTACATTGCCAGGATGATGAAGATGAAACAAGGCTGAACATTTCAGCAATACAATGATCTAAAACAAAGCCAGGGAACCTCTCAAATGGTTTTAGAAAAAAAAAAAAGACAAGAAAAAAAAAAGAAAAAGCTGTAGAATGACCTAGCCAATCACCTGACTCGAATCCAATGAAAATACAAATTAAAGATCAGTTTGAACAGAACCATCAAAACAAAAAATCAAGAGTCAGAACACTATATCTAAAACTATGTCAAAAACACCTATATTGTAATATCTGAGAACCCTCTGATGTTTTATAAAAAACATATTTTGCAATATTGTAAATACTTTAGAAAAATAGCAATCTTCATTTTATAATAAAATTATTCTAATATATAGTCACATGAACATAAGTGACGTTTAACAGAGTAAGGCCATTTTTCCCAGTATTTTCTAACATTTTCTTTTCTTGGAGAAAGTTTTTTTTTTTTTTTTCATTTTACAGAAATTACTGTTATTGTTGAAATAATAAAAAATGCAATAGTCAATTTTATTAGTAGGAGTGTGATCCAACATTGTCCTCATGGTTCGGTAACGATTATCAATTCAGTTGAATTTGTTATGCTTTCCATCCACGATTATATGTTTTTCTTCACAACACAAAAATTCTTGAATTACATTTTTTAAATATAGTATTTGTAATACAATTTTGTCTTTTAATACGAGTAGTCAGATATATGAACTGTAGCTTAAATTTTTTCTGCTCAAATAAAACCCTCTTTTTGGATGTATCAAACATAACTCAATCACAGCAATCACAGAAGACAACATGAGCAATTATAGCAAATTAACTAATGAACATATTATTCCGGTTGCTTTTTGAGTACCGTCGAGCGTCTTCTGACATCCTTATGATTGGTCATTGTGTTCATACGCTCAACAGAAAGGGCTGCAATTGGCTCAAACTTTTTTTTGATTGGCTTTAAAACTGTCAGAACTGTTCACCGATGAGTGATGCGGACACTGAAGAATGTGCGGTAAGCGCCTATATGCGTGTAATAAAGCGCACATTGCGTAGCTATCACAGCTGATTCGTAATAGAAGCCAGGAAGAAAATTCGCTCTACGGTCGTGTCAGGATCCACAGCAGTTAAACAGCACTTTTAAAAAACCAAAGAACTAATAATTTTGTAGCTTCAATTGTTTATATTTGTCACTTAAAATAAGAACAGAGATGTGGATTAAAAGAAGTTAAACTAACTCTTGGTGCAAATGCTACAAAGCTGCAGCTAACCCTTAGATCTGTGAACACATCATACATAATTAATGAGTCGGCTAAGTCAGCAATCCGCATAATTTCTCAAGATGCAATCTTGTTGAACCTTGCAGCTAAAACAATGCAAGAGTGAAACTTCGTTGACTGCAGCTAAAAGCTAATGGAGATTTGCGGTTAGAGTGTCACAAGAACCAACGACAAAGCAGAAACTGGGAATGAGCTCACATTAAGACTAGGAAGGGTTAATGAATATTTAATCTGCCTCAGAGTATGTGCTTCCAATTTCCAAGAAAAATCGACTGTGACTCATTACACCAGTTAGTTGGCCACCGTTCCATGTGTACAGCCTCCGTGTCGCATGCTCAAAAATAACTAATCTGACCGGATTGACACAAGTCGCGTTAAATTTACAGGCTGTTAGCAATAACACATCTGG